TGAAACACACACTCTTATACTGGGAAAAACAGCAATGTGAAAATCAGAGCAACAGGAAACTGCTGTGGAGGTATGTAGGGGGAGGGGATTATATTTTTTGTGGTTGGTCAGTTCTAGCTATTTATATTCATTCATAAATCTTTTTACCACTGTTTTAACTTTGATTTTAAAAAAGAGAATTTTACAATGTTAAAGAGAGCATATTCCATTAATCTTGTTTTTTCAGCTCCATTTGTTACATTAAATATATGCTTATTTCTTGTTTTAAAACACACACTAATTTTAGCAGCATAGAAACACAACCAAAATATCAGCACAGCCTCATCTAATGAATTACTGAAATGTATGTACATTTAAGTGTTAGGTTTTGTATACAGGAATCAGAACTCTATGTCTACTCCCATTTATAGAGGTAAGGCAAAGGTTAGTCCACTAACTTCACCAAGGTTTTCTAGAATTATACCAGAGTAATTAAGAGCGGAATTTCTCTGCAGGTAAGTAACCTTTCAGAAAAAAAGTCTTATTGCCTTCAATAAAGTACGCCATTGAGATTTCCAGGTCTCCTCTCAGGAGTTTCAACTACCTATATGAATTCAGAATTATAAACTGAAAGTGAAAATGTGGATCAGGATTCATGGTCAGGATTCATGGAAGTCAACAATAAACTTCTATTAACAGAATCATAGAAAAATATGGCCTATCTAATCTATCAATTAATTAATTGATTGATTGATCAATTGATTAATTAATCAAGGCAAAATTATCCCTGTCTAAACTTATCTGGACACGTGTTTGTCTAAAATCTTCCAAAGATGGAGATTTCACAACCTCTCTGGGTAACCTGTTCCAGGATTTAACTACCTTCATAGTGAGAAACTTCTTCCTAATATCCAACCTAAATTTCACTTGCAGCAATTTAAGGCTGTTACTCCTTGTCTTGCCTCCATTGGCCATGGATAATAGTTTATTACCAACCTCTATATAACTATCCTTCAGGAATCTGAAGATTGTTATCAAATCTCCACTTAGTCTTCTCTTCTCAGACTAAATAATCCCATTCCTTCCAATCTTTGCTCTTAAATCAGATCTCCTAGATCTGAAATCATTTGTTGCTCTCCTCTACTCTTTCCAATTTGCTTGTGTCTTTCTTGAAGTGCATTGACCCAAACTATACACAGTACTCCAAGTGAAGCCTCACCAGGCCCAAAGAATTACTTCCCTTGACTTGCATGTGATGATACCAGGCTATTAATATAGCCTGGTATGGTAGTGCGTTTTTTTTGTTGTTTTGTTTTGCAACAAGACCACCCTGTTGGTTCATATTCATGTTATAACCGCTAGTTCCTCATCTGTAGCATAGCCAGTCATTCCCCAGTCTGCATTTGTGCATGTGACTGACTGTTCTGTTCTAAGTGCAGGACTTTGTACTTGTTGTCGCAGGAAGAGGCAAACCAGGGAGAGTCCCAAACCCACGAGGGGAACCCCGGGGCCAGGAGCCAGGGGCGAAACAGAAAAAGTGAAAGTAAAGAAAGAAAAATTACTCACAGCAGGATGGGAGGATGAGCGAGGACAGCGGGGAAAGCCCACGCGAGGCATTCACTGCGCCTTTAGACAGCTGAGGCCAGCGGATGACGTCACCCCAATCACCAGCTGGCGGAAATGAAAGGGCCGGCAGTGAGAGGGAGCACAGGCGCGTGGACACCAGGAGAGGGTCTGGTCGGTGGGGTCAGCCGGAGGCGCGAGACACCGGAGGAGACTGCATGCACTGGCTGTGGAGGGGCGGACGAACCAGGTGGCGAGTCAGTGCTGGGAGCCAGAGTAACAGCTGCAGGCAAGCCAGAAGACAAGCCGGTAGGACGACCCAGGCCCCGGGGAACTGAATGGACCTGGGAAGACCCAGAAGGAGGGCAGCCATGTTGGGAAGACCCAGAAAGAGGGGAGCTGTGAGGACAGGACCAGAGAGAGGGCTGCTGTTCCGGGAAGACCCAGAGGGAGGGCTGCTGCTCTGGGAAGACCCAGAGGGAGGGCTGCTGCTCTGGGAAGACCCAGAGGGAGGGCAGCTGCAAGGTAAAGACCCAGAGAGAGGGCAGCTGCAAGGGAAAGACCCAGAGAGAGGGCAACTCCAAGGCGAAGACCCAGAGAGAGGGCGGCTGTCGGCTGTGCTGCAGAGACCCAGAGAGAGGGCGGCTGCTCCAAGGAGATCCAGAGAGAGGGTCACAACAGTAGGAAACAGGAGGGAGAGTAGATCTAAACCTGGGTAGGTGGAGCGGGGCCACAGAGCTAGGCTACATGGAGGAGGCCTCGTCAACTAGCGGAGGTGTAGAGGGGCTATCTGTGCTCCACAAGGAAGCCTAGGAGGGGCGAGGTGATGTTTTCCTTGGGACTCATTAAGTTTGTCTTTTGAGTTGAGAAGGGTGTTTTATGTTTCCCTGTATCAGAAGGGGTTGAGGCGAAGCGGAGGCAGGAAGACTGAGAAAGTGAGCGGTGGGCTCATTGTTGGGTATTCAGAGGAACGTGAGGTCGGCCACGGAAGTGACCAGGACTCGCCAGGCTGGGTAAAGTGTGAGGTGCAGGGGAGGAGGAGCCTCGCAGAAGACACCAAAGAAGCAGGCGGCCAACGAGGGCAACCACGCTGCACGAAGCCCCACCCACTGTGAAGGATTCAAAGTCGTGGCAGGCAAGAAGGGGCAGCTTGCAGCGCGTGTGAAGACCTCCCATAAGGCCACCTGCAATGGCAAAGCGAGGACCAGCAAGCACTCGAATTAAGGAAGCCCAGGACAAGATGTTTGAGACCCAGCAGGTGCACTTGTCTTTATTGAGTTTCACTTCACTAATTTCAGACCATTTCTCCAATGTATCCAGGTCATTCTGAATCCTCATCCTAACCTCCAAAGAGTCTACAACTCCACCCAGTTTGGTGTTGTCTACAAAGTTGTTAAGTGTGCACTCAGATTTCCACCCTCCAACTCATTAATGAAGATATTAAACAATGAGGTTAGTATTTCATCTGGGTTATATTATTTAGTCCTCCGCTGTCAGCCTCTTGTTCCAATTTAGAACTATTGGACTAACTTCAAGAACCACAAAATACACTTTAAACAGGTGTTTATGAACTAACTTAACCAATTCAGATCTACCTAGATATGGTGACCTTTTCTCAGATCCTATCTTTAATTGTACTCTTCTTGCTGCTGTTTTAGATTCGCCATGTGGGCCAATTGCTTTACATGTACACCATGCTTAGAAAACAGCTTTGTTAATTATACACAGAGATTGCTATTCTGATTTCACTTAGATTAATATCATTCTACAATAACCTCACTGAAATAAATGGGTCAAAATCTTAAAAATAAAAAAAAAAACCTTTTTCTTTTGCCTGGCTTTGCATCAGTGCCCTAGCACAGCACTGCTGGCTTCTGATACTTCCTGACCTGTATTTGGAGCCTTTATCAGTCTAAACTACATTGAGTAGAACCTTCCCAGGAATCAAGCATCCCTTTGCGTCTCTCCCCCATCTATCCAAGAAAAGCCAGCATGAGATCAGAATCTAGCCTCAACAGTACTTCACCATCTTCTCATACCAGGGGAAACTTTCCAGTCAGACTAGTGGATGCACGATGAAATCCCATTCTACAGAAACATTTTATTTGATCCTGTCTCTGACTCAATATCCAAAGGCCCACGGGTGTGTTATTTCAGAATTAAGTTGGTTCTTGGGTAATGTTCTGTCACACCATTTATTGAGCACTATAAAAAATAAACAGTGCATATATTAGGAATTTTTTCACCTGGAAGTCTAAATTCACACATGAAAGATTATCTTCTTCACAGCCCACACGACAAATTATGCATATTTTAAAGTGCACAACTGGTATTGAATCAGACTGTAGTCACCAGATTTGTAAATGTGTCTTCATATCATCAACAGAACAGCAACAGCAATAACATCTGAGCAATTTTCAAAGTTATCCTATATATGCACCATTTAAACAAGATACAGAATGTTAAAATAACACCCACATTGGCCTAATTTGGAATTGAGAAACCACCCAGCAAAGACATGCTTGAGTTACTGTTTTTCCACTGGTGGTAAACTCACTCCCATCAAGGGAATAGACTTTATGGTTCTTTGTACTATTCTAGCAATTTCCAGGGAAGGGGGAGTGTTGAATGAAGGACTTGGAAGACTATGAGCAATTGAGTATTAACACTTTGGTTCACCATGCAAAGAGGGTGAACTACCAGGCTGAGTGAAAGCAGAACACAGGCTGTAACCAGTACGACCAAGTAGTCTGGGTTGAAAGTTCTAGTAAACTCCTGGGACAATAAGATCCTGGGCCAACTCTACCATTAAGAGCACTCAAAGCAGACAGAATACAGGAAGAAATCTGAGGCTCTCTACTAATCTAAATCTTTAAGCACCTACATACCTTCAAAAATCTGGTTGCAAAATGTTGAAACATATCCACCTAAACTTCCAAAGCTAATAAGAGCATCTCTCTGAAACAATAAATCCTCCCAAAGGTGTAACAGTACTGATAAGAATGCTATTGCTTTTAAACGGATATTCAAGGGTGTGCTTATGATGCACATCATTCTATTATTATTGTGTCTGGTATGTTCATAAACATTGCAGTGTCGGTATTGATCTTTGGTCTTGTCCATACAACAAAACTGAACTATAGTTTACATTGATCCCAGTTGAGTTAATTTGGGATAAACCCCTTTGTGGAAACTCATTTGGGTTTGACAGTAGCTTGCTGCTGTTTGGTTTGAACATATTCCTAATTGATATAAGCTAAATCAATGAAAACATAGTTTAAACCACAAGACAAGTATTTACACAGTCTGTTATTCTCCTCTACCACACCATTAGTTGAATTTATGCAACCTTCTCCAGTACATAAATCCTAAGCATATTCAACAAAGTTTGCAGAAGCTCCAAAAATTTTCTCAGCAAGTTATCAATAAATATTGTGTATTAAAAGGAAACTTCTTACTTTTGGAAGAGAAGCTCTGGAGCCTGAACTCTGAGTGGTCATTGTTAAGACTGTAGTGATGCCCAGAGCGACTCTGGCTGGAGCAGCATCCATGTTGATCCAGAAAGAAACCCAAGACAAAATGACAATCAGCAGGCTAGGAATGTACATCTGGATTAAATAGTATCCCATCTGACGCTCCAAATGAAACTTGACTTCAATGCATGTAAACTTTCCTGGAACATGAAATTGCTTTTATAAATGGTTTTTGCATATCTTATGCACATTTTACCTTATTTTATGAGCCCAAACTAACTGCCCAACTTCAGACTCATAGATTTCATAGTGCACAAAAAAATAAAGCTTTAATTCTAAAGGCAGCAGTCCTAGTATGAAAATATTGTTCTGGCTCAGAACAATAACATACTAGCACTTATAGCATTGTAGCTTCAAGTATAAAACCAAAGGATATTTGAAACCCTGGCTACAAAGCTATGCCAAATGTTTCACATCAGCCAGGGAAACAGACAATAACACGGTTGCTCCATTTTGAGAAAACGTAATTTTTTTCTATTATTTCGAGAGAAATTTTAAACAAGACTTTTCCTATAGAATAATAATTCTGGTGGTGGAAAGTGACATGTATAAAAAATATTTTATTTTATTTATGTCTCTGTGTGAACATTTTACAAGAAAACCAAACCAAATCAAAGAAGTTTTGTAAACACTCCCATTCTTCTTTGGTCTTTTGTGCTCTTTCTTATGTCGATATATCTGGCCAATGGTCCAGTCACTCTTCCTAACCTTCTGGCCCTACAGGCTAGACAAGTAGCATAGGGTCAGTCTCTGGGGTCACCCCTTCCAACACTCAAATTTACTACTGGCTGCAACTGTGGACTACATATCCCAGAGGCACCTGGAAGCAGGGAGAGGAAATGATCCTGAAGAGTCCTGTTACTGTGAACCTGGATTGCAAATCCCAGAGACCTCAGGGGCAAGAGGAAGAGGTAGTGAACACAGCCAGAGAGCTGTGCTCTAGCACCCCCCAGTTTCTGGCCTGAGCCACTGCAGGCATGTGGCTGCATTCCCTGAATCAAATATAAATGTCTGTTCACTTCTGTTTCAATTTAATCTGTGCAGTTTAGACTAACCTGCCAAGCCTTGGGCTTTTTGACTGTCTGTACCTAGCCCTAAAGAAAACACGCAGCTTTCAGCCCTCCAAACCTGCAAATGTTAGGAGATACTCTAGAGACAAGGGTCATTTGAGAATTTGGAAGTTCTTCTGACTACATACTACTTCTTATCTCACTTTGTCATGGTACAAAGGTTTCATCACTGCTCCTGGATGCTTCCTGTGAGCTGGGACTTCCATGCCAGAGAACAGGAGGTACTGACTAGAAGTACTAGCCTCTGCAGGGAACCTATATAGGTTTTCTCAGGGGCTGCCCATTTCACCTCACAATCTTGTCCCTCTTCTTTTACCTCCCATGATGCTGGAGAGGGTTTATTTTTGGTGATCTGAAGTTTCAATTAATAAACTGATAAAAAAAAAAGTTTAATTTTCAGAGAACTGAAATAGTTTAATTCTGCCCTTTACATTTTTACATTAAAAAAAAGCATATTAAAGAAAAACGTGCTTTCCTTTACACGCATTAAAAGAAAGCAGGTCAAGCAACAGTCAGCTTGAGCAGTTGAATCCTCATCTCGTGTATCAGAAACATTCAGACTTCAGGCACTCTCTTCAATAGACATTGAAACAAAATGTTGTCTCAAATTGAAGAAGCAACATGCTTCATTCAAAAATGTTGAAATGATCAAGTTTTATTTTTCTAAAATTTAAAATTTTTTAAACAAATAAAAATTGGCAAAATCAACACATATATGCAAAATATTTTGTTTCCACTGAATTTGCATTTTTCAACAGAAAAAAACTTTCATGCAAAAAGAAATAAATCCACACATCAACCTGGTTCTCCTATTACAAAACTGCATAAAGTATAGTAGGAGAAGTAATTATTAAAGGAAAGATTAAGAGACTGCTCACCAGTGTTGTAATGTTTTGTGCAGTAGCCAAGTTCCTTATCTTCTTTCAAAATAAACTGTGGCAGAGTTAAACCTTCTGCAACTTGCACTGGACCATCACTTAGCCACTCAAATATCAGGTCATTCATAGTGTAACCAACTAGAATAAACAAATCATTGTTCATTAGATTGTCACAGGGTGAAGTATCAAATGAAAACAAATCATGAAGGAGAAAATAACCACACTTTTGAATGGACAAACTTCGGTACACATAAATCTTGTGACTCTCTAACATTGCTATGAACATTATTAAGCCCCATAACTACATCACATATGTAACTCCATTAATGTGGATGAAACATTCCACTCAAACCTCAAAATTACTGAATATATGCTAGTTTGCTTCCAGTAGAAAGCTACTTTTAATACTCTGCCAAGGACATTGTTCACAACAAAAGTTATATTTCAGTGTAGCTGCATATCAGTCTCTCTGATTCATTTTGTTTTGATCACTCTGTGATTAAACAATTCTTCATTTTGATAAACATGATTGTTTTTAGATTATTGCATTTTACAAAAAAAAGAAAAAGGAAATACTTTCATAATTCTTTAAAACCCAGTACTCAGAAACATACAGCAGAGGGAGACAGAATAAGAGGAGAAACAATGTAGAACACTAGTGTTAAATACAGCCTCGAGGCTGGATACTGCCCTGGGAACTTTATCAGGTATCCTTGTTTTCTGTGATAATATATATAACAGAAAAATGGGGTGGGGGAGGGCTTTAATCAGAAAATTTTGGATTTGTTTTTATCATAGAAAACCAGGAACCCTGCTAATCATTCATCCCCCATTGCTGCCTGTGGGTCTCGAGCATGCCAGATGGCCCCACACGCCACATGTGGTGCCAACTCCAGCATAAGTCAGCTCTATGTTGGATCTAGTGATACATCCCAGAGTAGCCGTTGCATGCAGGAAGGCCTCGGAGTATCAAAATGGCTGGTGCCTGCAGCACAGCCCTTTAGTCCCAGTGCAGCCACCCCACTCAACAGCTGGCAGAACCACACTGTGGGTGTCATCCACTGCAGGCAGACATTTCAGGACAGGCACTGGATCCTGCATGTGAGGCTGGCCTATGGGTCAGAACCAGCCCGTGGACTGGTCCTGTGCCACTAATCTGATGCACAGGGATGGATGAATTTGATGCCCCTGACGTAGAAGAATGGGAATTTCATTGCAAGAGGCAAGGCAATTTCTGTCCTTGTGTTATAAAGACACTCTGTTTCAGTATGCAGGTAAAAGTCTGCAAAAACTGTCTCATGATTTCTATTGAAAATGTGATAATGAAGTTGTGGGGTTTGATTTTTTTTTTAATTTTTCACCAGGTAAATCATCTGATTACTCACAGCTTTCTAGTTGCATTGTGCAAGTCTGCACATCCATAGGAAAATTCTTCAAGTCCATGGGACAGGAAAGGGTTAAAGTTAGCCTAAATATAGATAAGAACAGTAAACTACCATTAAAAATGTTTACAAAGTTATATTTAAAGCAGAAAAATCATAAGTCAGCAATATTTAAAGAGAGGCAGTCAAGTTTGTGAGCCAAAGAAGTTTAGTCTTACAGTGAACATCCTCTCAGGTATTTGTGATAAGGACTGAAATTGTATGACCAAAGCTTAACATCATGAAAAGATTTTTTTAAGCTTCTCTCTTTTAAATTCTATTTGCATAGTTTCTTTGTGTACATACAGGTTCTGGTTTTTATGCAAGTAGGGGGGAAACATTTTTAACAATAATAGAAAAATGTGATTATAAAATCATAAAAATCAATAGGATGACTCAGGTAGTATCCAAAATGATCTGGGCCATTTTGAAAAACAGCTGAGATTCCAAGATGTCACTCCTTCAAGATTTATAGAAGAAGTAAATGTAATATTTCAGATTACTCTCAGTTCCACAAAACTTTAAGGAACATACCCTTTCTCATTCATTCATTCATTCTATTTGTATGCCACCCTTCCCAACAAAGGCTGAAGGCAGCTTGTAGTAAGAATGATCACTTAATAATAAAACTCTATACTATAAACTACTTTCGCCTAGCATAAAGATTCAAAAACAATAGTGCAGACACCAGCAATGAACTGCAGGAATTTGTTGGTTCCTGACCACATATTTCATATCGTCTTACTCCTCTCCACTTTGCAAAAACAGATCATCTAAAAAGAAGAATGAAATGAAGAGCAAATATAAAGAAAATAGGTAAAACCTGCAGCTATTTGTCAGTGGGAGTTTCCCCTTGGATGGCAATGGGAAAGATTTCATCCAGTATGTTCTAAATCTTTTTCCAGAAAGGGCAAAACAGTCATTACACCAGATAGAGCAAATACTATTTGTTAATACCCTGTTACTAATAATTTTCCATGCAATCAATTATTGTCAATGTTACAGAAAAACCTATGTGATCTAGACTATGGATAAGTGGTGTCCATGAGACTAATGTCACCTGTACAAGTGAAATATCTGAGAACTCCAGGAAAAGCCAAATAGAAACCAGGGGTAGCAGAAAGTTGTATAAAAGGGGATTTCAATAGCAAAAGGGACAGCTGGGAAGGTGCTTAGACTATACCAATTGTAATCTACTCACTGAACCTGGTGCTCAGTTTGTTGTGCCACTTGTTGCCTCTTGTCAGATGCTTATATGGTAAACTTTTTTGGAGAAGGGACTGTGTTTTTATTATGTGTGTGTATAGTAGGCATTACCACAATACCCATAAACAGCAATAATTAAAACAATAAAAAATGGATGATAGTCAAGCAATTTAGATCAAAACTAAATTAAACAATTCCTTTTTCAGTCCAGTTTAAATTAACGTGTAACCACCTGCTAAATCCACTACCAACCTAATGTTCCCATCTTGCTCACCACACAGGTTTTCTATTGTGATAAAATGTAATAGATGATAGTACTTTGAAGTCAGTGCCAGACTGTCAAAAATACTTAAGTGCCTGGAGATGCAGATTGGCTCCTAACACTGTTTTCAGAAGTGCCTGCCTAAGCACCCACATTTTACTGAAATGATTAGGAGCTAAGCACTTGGGTATTTTTGGCACCTATCTGCATTGTCAGGAACATAAAGACCTTTGAAAATGTGGCCCTCAGTCCTTTACATCTTTTTCCAAATTCTTCAAAAATGTTAGTAAGTTATATATTTGCCATATCATTTACCAGACTAAAGATTGAGCTATCTTAGCTGCTAAACCATGACAGTAATAAAAGATTGTTTCTCTTATTTTCTCAAATTTTAATATCAAACTTTTCTTCTTCTTCTTCTGCCAAAGATGGGTTATATGTGTAAGTTCATTTTCTGACCTAAAAGGAAGAAAGAAAGGAAGGAAGGAAGGAAGACAGGAAGAAAAAAAACTGAGCTGTGGAATATGTAATTTGCTTGAATTCACCTGAGTAAGTCTGGCCCCTCTGCCACACACTGCTCACAGACTGATGAGAGCTGGTGAGACAGATTCTATCACTCACCCTTGAGAAAGGGGGCTCAGTGGGAGTTTGACCTTAGACTTTCAGCTTAATGAAAAGAAGCATCTAGTTTTAGCCCCTCTAATAAAGCAAATGCAAGAAAGCAAACACTTCTAAATACCGGCTCCACGCCTCTGAGGTGTAAACAGATCTGCCTCCATTGACTTCAAGGATAATATAGTTAGTTGCTTCAGGAGATGAGCACAGAACAGAATGTATAATGTTTGTTCACAGGACGAATAACAACATCTCCTCTTTCTTCTCCTAATGAATGGTACTTTTCTGGGAGACTAAATTATTCACTGCTCACCTGGACAAATGGGGAGACATTTCCATTCACTGCATCAATGAGAGCAGCTCAAGAGAACATCTTCAGAGATACTTGCTAAACAATTTAGCAGAGGAGTTCTTCAAAAGTAGCAGATACCTTTGCCTTTGTTTCCCCCTTTACAACACGTATTGGACTGGAATCAGCTAACACTTACTACCTGGGCTGGGAGGCAGAGCTGTACTGCTACCCAGCGTGTCCACAGGTGGCAGATAGTGGAACAACCTTCAGGGAAAGTTAGCTGTGAAGTAAGCAAAGGTAACTCTGATGAATAAGCAGTCATGGACCAAGCAGCAACGCTACCAGTATGTGGTGAGGACAGCAGATGGCAAACGTTTTCGTCCTAAAAAGCTGCATATATCCTTGATGGTGCTGTGACATGGTGAGTACAGGTCACCAATATAAGAAGCCTTCCCAACACCAGCCATGGGTATAGCAGCCCTCAATGGCAGAAAAGGCAGAAAATGTTAGAATCGCAATAGCTGCAAAAGTGGATGAAAGCTGCAGTCGAATGAGATCCCCAGTTGCCTTGGTCTCCTTGCCATTGGATCAAGGTCCCATTCTGTCAAGACCCATGTGGAAACTGATGTGCAGCAGCTTCTCCATGATAAAAGAAGTCATGCACAGGTGTCTTCATTGAAAACAGTTTTTCCAGCACATTCCTCAAGCCTTTTGGTGACCAGCTAATAGTGATGGGAGCAGGATTGTGAGGTCTAGTAGCTCCTAGTCATGTACTGGCACAAAAGCAGCAGTTATAGATTTCATAGACATTAGGGCTAGAAGGGACCTCACAAGATCATTGGGTCCAGCCCCCTGCCCGAGGGGCAGGAAGTCATCTTGGGTCAAAGGATCCCAGCAAGATAAGCATCCAAATGTTTCTTAAAAAAGTCCAGAGTAGGTGCTTGCACCACCTCTGGGTAGAATCTATTCCAGGCCCTGGGTCCTCAGACAGTAAAGGAGTTTTTCCTTATGTCTAGCCAAAACAGTCTTGGAGGAGTTTGTGACCATTGGACCTTGTCATCCCTTGGGGTGCTCTGGTGAACAGGTGTTCCCCCAGGTCCTGATGCAGACCCCTTAAGTACTTATAGGCTGCCATCAAGTCACCACTGAGCCTTTGCTTCTCCAGGCTGAAGAGTCGCGTGGCTCTCAGCCTCTCTTCATAGGGCCTGTTCTGTGTCCCTCTGATCATGCACATGGCTCTCTTCTGGACTCTCTCAAGCTTTTCCATGTCCTTTTTGAATTGTGGAGCCCAGAATTGGATGCAGTACTCCAATTGTGGCCTCACCAAGACTGAGTACAATAGGGGGATGACATCCTGAGACTTCCTTGAGAAGCATCAATGGATATAAGCCAGAGTTTTGCTTACCTTACTGGCTGTGGTATCACACTGGAGGCTTATGTTCATCTTGTGGTCAGTCATGACCCCCAAGTCTCTTTCGGCTGTGGTGCTAGCGAGTGTAGCACTGCCGAGCCTATAAGTGTGATCCGGGTTTTTTTTTTTCCCCGAAGGTAGAGCATCTTGCATTTCTCTGTATTAAATGCCATCAGGTTTTTGTCCATCCACCTTACAAGCCTATCAAGGTCAGCCTGGATCACCAGCCTATCCTCAAGAGTGGACACTGTTCCCCCAAATTTGGTGTCATCAGTGAACTTAGCCAGTCTACTTCTAACACCAGAATCCAGATCATTTATAAAGATGTTAAAAAGTACAGGTCCAAGAATGGAGCCTTGGGGGACAACACTGGTCACTGAATGCCATGTTAATTCAGTTCTGTCAACTACCACCCTCTGGGTCCAACCTCCGAGCCAGTTCCCAAACCATTGGAATGTAGTGTAGCTGAGGCCACAGCTGGCCAGTTTTTCCATGAGGACATTATGGGACACCAGATCAAAGGCTTTGTTAAAGTCCAGATATATGATATCAACCTCTTCCCCTTTGTCCAGGTGATATGTCATATGGTCGTAGAAGGATATGAGGTTGGTCAGGCAAGATCTACCTGCAACAAACCCGTGCTGGCTGTTCCTTAAAATGTTGCCTTCAGCTACCCTATTGAGAATGGTTTCTTTGATGATTTTTTCCAAGATCTTTCCAGGGATTGAGGTCAAAATGATTGGCCTGTAGTTCCCCAGGTTTTCCTTCCTCCCTTTCTTGAAGATAGGCACCACGCTGGCCCTCTTCCAATCTTCAGGTACTTCACCCGAACACTACAAGTTGTCAAATATTCTTGCTAGTGGCCATGCTATGATGTCTGCCAGTTCCTTAAGCACTCTTGGGGGCAATCTATCTGGACCATCTGATCTGTGGGTGTCCAGCCTCTCAAGGTATTCCTTCATTAGGCTGATGCCAATGATGAGTGTATATTCACCCTTGGCCTGGCCATCCCACATCATGTTAGGCAGGGTGGTCCCTTTGGGATGATGAAAAACTGATGCAAAGTAATCTTTAAGCAGGTTGGCTTTTTTCTGGGTGTCAGCTGTCAACTGTCCCATTTCGTATAGCAGGGGACCAGTGTTACCCTTTTTTTTATTTTGACTCCTCACATGTCTGAAGAAGGACTTTTAATTGTCCTTGATATGTGTAGCCAGTTAGTGTTTGGTTACAGCCTTGGCTTTCCTGGTTCACTCCCTACAGG